AATTCTGCCAGTTATAGGAATTTCTATCGAATTGTAGAACTGGGCACAGCACAAACGACATACACAAACGGCAACATGGCGTGTATCAAGATGAATATTGTTGACCGACATCAAAGAAAAGTTAAATTTTCGGCTATAAAATCACGAAAACAAGCATCTTGGCTGCGCTCTTCCAAGATTGTCAACTATTTTTATTTCAGTGTGTATTTTTTTCTCGTCTTACAACATCGACGATTTTTAGTTAGAGAAAAGAAAAATACTTTTTTTCTGTTCCGATTCTCTCCACATGCTTTATATTTGTAGAAAAGAGGGGTAACTATATATTGTAAAATACAGCGTTCTATTCTTCTTACATGCACGCTTATTTGCATACATTGACATAGTCAATACTTTTTTAGAGCAACTTTTTACAAATTTTTCGTGAAAACTTCCTTATACAATCGAGGTTTATTTGTTATAATCTAAAATAGATAGATACTCCTTTTTCATTATCGTTAAATGTCAACCATCATGTTACGATCAATTCCAAAGACAAGTCAGTTTGTCAATAAAGTTGTATTTCAACGACAAACATTTACCACGTGGAAAAGTCGAATAACTTTCAATACCGCGAATAATGGCAGTGGTAATAACTACAATAATTCAGATAACAATGATAACAATTATGAACAAAATTCTCATGGTAACCATTATAAAACGGCAATTGCTGCCGGAGTTGCAATGACAGCAGCCGCTTCTGTTCTTACTACTGTTGGCAACGATACGAAGAAGAAAGATGGTAGTGGTAAAGTGGACTATAAATCTGTTCGTGAAGCCATTGCTAATTTATTAGATGTTGAAGGTTATGATGATGGCAGTTATGGTCCAGTATTCGTTAGATTAGCCTGGCATGCATCAGGCACATTTTCAGCAGCTGATAATTCTGGTGGTAGTAATGGTGGTTGTATGAGGTTTGAACCTGAATCAAAATGGGGTGCTAATTCAGGATTACAAATAGCGAGAGAGGTATTAGAAAAGGTTAAGAAAGCGCATCCAAATATATCTTATGCTGATCTATATACATTAGCTGGTGTTGTGGCTGTAGAAGAAATGGGTGGACCTGAAATCAAGTGGCGTCCTGGGCGAAGTGATTTTGCTGATGGCAGTAAATCACCTCCTGATGGTCGATTACCTGATGGAGCTCAAGGTGCTGCTCATATACGTGATATATTCTATCGAATGGGTTTTAATGATCGCGAAATTGTTGCATTACTTGGTGCTCATTCATTAGGACGATGTCATAGCGATCGTTCCGGTTTTGATGGACCATGGACAAGAGCACCAACAACGTTTAGTAATGAATTTTATCGTGTCTTATTAGAAGAAAAATGGACAGTTAGAAAATGGTCAGGTCCTAAACAATATGAAAATTCAAGTAAAGATTTAATGATGCTACCGGCTGATTTGGCATTAGTATCTGATCCAGAATTTCGTAAATATGTTGAATTATATGCAAAGGATGAAGAGGCATTCAGAAGCGATTTTGCAAAAGCATATAGTCATTTATTAGAATTAGGTGTTCAATTTCCCGCTGATCATTCACATGGACCTGCACCAACATTAGAAGAAAAAAAGAAATCATTGTGGTATAGAATATTTGGTTAAACTCTCGACAGTTCGTTCAATGTTATTCAGAATGCCTGATATCAGTATTAGACTATTATCTATGTAGTTTGTGTATTCATGTGTAATGCAATTAAACAGGAGTTATCAATTTCTAACTGTCTCATGATGAATCAATGCATTAGTCCATAGCAATCATTCTGTCTCATGGATGATGTCTTGAGTTTGTTTTTGGTAGTGCTATTTCATGTAATAAGTCAGTTAGATTTAGCTATTTTTTAAGGTGAAAGGATAACATTTATAAAAACACGCAGTCTTTGATTCACTCTGATTTGAAACTATCTGTTACTAGTAAGTTTTGAATTTGCATGTAAAAGTGAGAAAAAATTCGCTTAATCGGAAACTAAAAATTGAATCAAGCGATGGCCTATGAGAAGTTTAAATTACTAAGGAAGTGTGTATCATATGCTCAAACGGTACATATTTTTTTCCAGTTTAAAAGATCATTCATAAACCCAAGATCTTATAAACGTTTCTGACTCAAGATACAGAGGTTAGGATACACGATACTACTAAAACTGAATATGAATTAGTGACAAATATTTCGGGACACTCTCTAAACTTTTCGGAATTGTTCTCGAAAGAAATTGGCATTCTTCCTAATATCCATTCATTATCTACCGAACTTTGAATATTTATCTCTCAGGTTTAGGAATGATCAGAACTGTTTTAGATAATTCGAAATCTCTTTTTCTTTACTACAATTCTGTTTATTATGCATACAGAAGCCTCTATGAGTTCTAGCATATCTAGAAATACATCTAGATATTTTTTCTATTTCTGTGTCATTCCATGTTATTTTTTTATAATACATCAACACATAACGGAGAAGAACAGATTGATAGAGAAACCCAACCATAGAGAGAGAGAAAGACAGATAATCACAAAAGTTTTCGACTAAATGGACTGAGTCTTGGAAGTCTTATGATACTATTAGCATAGCAATTCATTATGGTAATTCACAAAGCGTTTTGTTACATGAATACCAAATGAGACTAGCCGACGCGAACAATTTCCTTGGATCAGTATTTCTTAAATGGAAAAACGACAATGTATAATAAAGTCTTCACCTTCGATACACAATTGACAAAAAGAGAAAAGTTTGTTTTGATTTTTGTACATATGAAAAAGAACGAACGCACATGTCTGCTTAATTAATATATATCATGAAGAAAAACTGCTGTTGAATTCTTCTTATATAAGTAAATTATCAGCTAATTCGCTTATATTTTTTTAATATTGCCTTAACTGCATCATGTGGCAAAGCTGAAACTGTGTTATCATTAATACCCTTCATTGTCTTTGCAGAAACCATGGCATTTACGACCGCTTCTTCTGTTGCTTGAATTGTTGCAGTAAATAAGGCATCCATCTGCGAATTCGGATATAGATTTATCTGCTGCTCTGTATCTCTGTCATATGCATTTTTGTTCGCTGTAGAAAATGCCAAGAAAATATCACCAGACATATTACCCCCAACACCACCTAGTATCGCGAGTCCTAAAGAAACACGATGCGCTATTCGTTTTAGTTGATGTGGTAACAGTGGTGCGTCTGTTGCAACGATTACAATTATTGAACCGCTTTCTTTAGTTTTAGGATGTTGCTTTGTTGCGTCTAGACTGTTGATTATCACTGGATATGTGTCCTCCAGCTCTTTTCCAACAGACACTCCAGCAATCCTTAACTGGCATCGTGTGCCATAATTTGCTTGTACTAGTACGCCAATTGTATACCTCTCATCGACTAAACGAGATGCTGTACCAATGCCACCCTTAAAATCGTAACAAACCATTCCTGTCCCGCCTCCCACATTTCCTTCTTCTACAATTCCGTTTTTTGCAGTATTTATAGCATTCCAAACATGCTCTTTAGTTACATGATGTCCGTTCACATCATTCAGAAAACCATCGTATGTCTCAGCAACAAGTGGATACGCATACTAACAACCGATGGAATCAGCCTTATAATAATGATGTTTGTCCATCCATTCGAGTGCCGAATCACGTACAATACCAACACTTCCCGTATTCGTAATTAGAATCGGTGTTTCCAAAAATCCAGATTCTGTTATCCAGTGTGTTCCTGTCATATCACCATTTCCATTTAGCATATGCCAATTCGCGAATACAGCAGTGAATTGTTTTCCACCTGGTAAAATAGCTGTTACACCCGTTCTAATTGGACCTTCACCTTTAATTAATTTTCCTTCACCTTTTATAATCGTTGTGTGACCAACTTCAACACCTTCAACATCTGTAATTGCATTATTCTTTCCTGTTTTACCATCAAACGGAATGCCAATATCTCTGGCTCGTTGTTGCGAGGAACACATTACTAGATGAATCGGAATATGTTTTCTACCTATGTCAGAAACATAAAGGTGAATAATTATTCGACACGGTATACTTAAGGGAGAATAGATCGTAGAACCAGAATTTCTGAGACTGCCATTGGGTTCCTCGCAAAAAGTTGCGTCGGGAAATTTAGCCTTTAACTACATCAGATATACAATGGGGACTTTGGATCGTTTAACATAACCTATGATTACTTCAAACGCGATTCTGGCGCTTTTTTTAAAAGGTCTCGCAGTAAATTTTTCGTAAATCGAGTTTCGTGCTATATTTTAAAGCTAAAACCGTATTAAAACGATTTTTCAAAACATATAGGTGACTGACTGGGCGTATTTAGAGAATCCTGAGGACGTATTTGATTATATAAACTTCAAATACAAACTGTCTTAAATAAAAACTGAATCATCGTGTGTTCCACGCTAACAATGGTGCCCAAAATCGTTAAATATCTCAAATTTCAGCTCTAAATTTCGATTTTCGCTTGTTTTTTCTCTAAAAATTCACTTCTCCACCTTAGACAAACGTAATTAAGAGGATCACCGTAAGAAAATCAAGAATAAAAACACGGTAAAACCCTTCAAAAAAAATTTTAAAAAAGAAAACGATTTTCGGATTCTGCATCCAAAGTTACCCATAAATCCAAGTGTTTAGCCTCTGAAAATTTGAGGGTTGTCTACTCTAGGTAGGGAATGATATTCAGATCCGAGAAATCCTACAAGTCCCCATCTACCCCTCATACACACGTATATGTATACATGTATATATATATATATATATACATAT